AAAAGTAAAAGTTTTGGTTAGGCATTTAATGGCTGTTCTGATGTTTTTCTGTTATCTCTAATCTAACGGGAAAAATAGGAGTAATACAATCATATTTTAAAGAGTAAATTTTAAGATCCACCATATGTAGTTCCATTTCTTGAAAGTTGTTTTTTTTTTTTTTTTTTTCCTATGAGAAATATTTTATCAACTGAATGGATACCTTCAGCAAATTTGTTGGTATTAAGGGCATCTTAAGTTTATAATGCAGGACAAGAGTAACTAAAATGGTGCAGAAATTTATGAAACAGCCCTATACCATATACCAAATACTTATACCATAAAAGAAAACTGCACTTTCATTGATATGCAATTTTAGTTTACTGCTATAAATTCTATCAAGTGCAGTTGAGTAATGAAAAATCGGAATGGTCTTCAATCTTCAAACCTCAGTTTCAAGTTCACAGGTTTTGTGAACTGTGACTTCCACAACAGTTTCTATTGTTTACAATAATCCTTTTATCACTGATAAACTAAACTCTAAGCAGACTGGCCAAGTGTAGGACTCTGGCTCCACAAGCTTGCATTTTTCAAAACTAATTTTGTAAATATATTCCTAGCAGGCAACTTTTTTTACTCTGGTGATAAATTACCATTACAGTAGGTTCCTAAAACAGCTCTAAAATAATCCTAAACTGGAACAAAAAAACAATAAACCAGCAACTAGCACTATGAAATCAGGTTATGATAGGATGGCTTAAAAATATCAACGTTTGACAGACAGGTATGAATTATTTTTTTCTACATGTTTCACACAGCTCTATCTGCTTCAATAATTTTGCCATTTTTAGTGTGGAGTTGAATTATAAAATCTCATTTAGGAAAGAGTGGGATGAAAGAAGCAGAGGTAAAGTCTGTCACAGATATTCCAAAACCTTCAGAAGGTTTATGGAGGTGGAAGATCAAGCCCTGATTATAGGTAGAAGGGAGCAAGATTACACAGGAAAATACTGCAAAGCTCCTGTTAGGTCTTTCAAGAATGAGTAGTCCAAATTAATTCTTCATGTGATTCACCATTGCTAGTGCATGTGAAATGTTTCTATTCTGTCTTAAAGAAGTCCACGGGTCTGTGTATACGCAGCAAAAAGAACACTTTAGTCAGACGTTTCACTTCCTCAGTAAAAGACATCCTTCCTAACCTGCAAAACAGTGCTAGCAAAATCTTTACCCAGAAAGACAAGGAAGAGAAGTTATTATACATAAATATGATGAAGAAGCGCATTCGTTACATTAGAGAACAAAGTAAGGTAAAGCTTCAACTCATCAGTAAGTGTAAACTTGCTATAAGGAAGCAGAGTTTGTATTGATGAAATAATTTCTAAGGGCACATTTGACTTAGTATCTTATAGATAGTAAGATTTAATAATGAGTATTTCTCTCAACGATGAATTTAACACAGCTTTGTCATTTTTTTCAACTGGAATGCAGCACTTCATATTGTAATTCCAAAAAATATAACATTATCATTACCAGTTGTCTACATCAATTAAATTAGACTTAATAGCTCTATTAAATGATATGAACAACCATGAACAATTATAGCATCATGCACATACGCTCTAATTTTGCAAGCTATTTATTTTGCCTGTAAACACTTTATTCAGGATATTCTGTGATTTTATACAGGTGGACTTGGATTTTTTCAGACTAGATTAAATGTAGTCAGTTTTAAGAGAACTTTCTACTTCGCCACAAATTGTTTAATTGGTATTAAGTCTAGAGTTGGTAAAATGACAGTCATTTCAGAGCTCCAAATCTCTCCACTACACTATTCTATGACTTTGAGGGGTCCTATAAGACCCTTTCATATAGACATCCATGACAGCACAGAAACAAGGGACGTTTGCCTGTAGAAATTTAAGCTTTGTGATATTTCTGCTCTTTCAACACTGCATTGTAATTAAAAACAACAACAACAACAACAACAACAACAACAAAAAAGAACAGACAATCAAAAAAACCCCACAACACCTAACTAGAATGAGAGCGGTGACTTTTTTGTTAGTCTTTATCACTTTTCGTGACTTTAGGCAAATCTATGGCTCCACACTATATTGAAAAACTGACTTCCAAAGACAGGCAATTTCCCTGAGTTAATAAATGTAGCCTACAATATTCAGAAGAAATGCAATGAAAAAAATTCAGAAGATAATGAGGCTTTGAATCTCCTGTTATCACTAGCTACACAAAATTCTAAGAAAATGCAGCCTCCTACGAAAAGGTATTTTCACTTTCCAACTCTTACCTTTACCTCTACAACTTTTTTTGCTTATGTGTAAGATCAAAAAGCAATGAAAGAGGTTTCCAACTTAAGACAACAGATTGCTTTTAAAAAATAACCTTTCCGAAAACATCATTTTCAGCAGCACATCTATAAACATGGAAATGGATTGTCAATGAATCAGAAAAAAACCCCATTCATTTCCAATTCATAGAACGTACATCTCTTTTCTCTGAAAGATTTTTGTATTACTTACTATGCTTGAAATGAGATCAAACTTGATAATCCCCCTCAGCATCCCCGCCTTAAAAAAAAAATCACATATATATCTTACACTGAGACATACATTTACATTACATTTATAATAACTGCGAAAAGAAATGTAAAGCAGAGTTGTGCACTTTTTACATTCACCTGACTTTACCTCAATGCCAGCCACACACCGTTCTACGTCAAGGGGTCCCTAATATCTAAAAAACATTGTAAGGAATATTTGGTACTTATGGATCAACAGTGATTGAAATTGAAGAAATATATCTAAAATGTATTGTACCTCCTCTTCCTAAAATACATCTATAGAAAAGAAATGGAAATGAAATCAGTGAGAACACAGTATCCTCTAATGGATTAAATTTATTCTGCTTTGCTTTAAAGTAGGCATAAGCATATCTGGGATAAGTTCCTTAGAATAAGGAGATCATTCAGAAATTCAGTTTTGATTGTCTCTTGGTCCTACCTAATTTACAACTACTTTTTATGGAATAGAAAGCTATCTGAGTGCTATATGCTATCAGACATCTCTGACACAAAGAGCTCATTTAAGATGGCAAATATTTCTAAAAACTGTAAGATAACATAAAGCTGAGTAACTCAACCTAAAAATTTTGATTAGAACACAGAAATAATCCTTGAGAATGAAGGACATACATCAACAACATCCACAAAACTTCATTTTTTTCAGAACAGCTTTTCACTTAACTACTTTGTGCTGCAGATGGTACTAGATTGTTTTCCTAAATTGTCTAAGCTTCTTTAGGACAGAAGAAAGGAAACAGCCTTTCATTTCAGATTCCTAGGGTTCAGCTCTGTAGTTTAACTTCTGATCTTTTGCATTTTCAATGACTAAGGAAAGGAAAAAAAAAAGCCTTTAATCTCTGTGCTTTTTCATCTATTTTTCCTGATCAAGTATAAAGTCCAGACAGCATAGTATGCTGTTGGTTCATTACATCTCTAGGCTAGGAAATGTTATGGCTCCATCTGTGAGACATTACAAGACTCTTCTTATTTCCAAATTTACAGAGAGGTTTCATAGGGTAAATCACATAATAATCGCTGTTCATGGATAGAGTCAGTATAACCTGTCAGCTCTCTGAAGATATCAGCCTTTGTCCATTGACTAAAAAGGGGACATAAGAGATCATTTTAGCAGCAGTGTGCCCTTGTGGCCAAAAAGGCCAATGGCTTACTGGGGTGCATTAAAAAGAGCGTGTCCAGCAGGTCGAAGGAGGTGATCCTCCCCCTCTACTCTGCCCTGGTAAGACCTCATCTGGAGTACTGTGTCCAGTTCTGGGCTCCCCATTATAAAAAAGACAAGGATCTCTTGGAAAGAGTCCAGCGGAGGGCCACGAAGATGGTGAAGGGCCTGGAGCATCTCTCCTGTGAGGAAAGGCTGAGTGAACTGGGTCTGTTCAGCCTTGAGAAAAGGAGACTGAGAGGGGACCTGATCCAGGTCTATAAATATCTAAGGTGTGGGGGGCAGAATGGCGAGGCCAGACTGTTTTCAGTGGTGAGTGGAGACAGGACAAGGGGAAACGGCTGGAAACTGCAGCATAGGAAGTTCTGCACCAATGTGTGCAAGAACTTCTTTACAGTGAGGTGACGGAGCACTGGAACAGGCTGCCCAGGGAGGTGGTGGAGTCTCCTTCTCTGGAGATGTTCAAGACCTGCCTGGATGCCTACCTGTGCGACCTGCTGTAGGGAACCTGCTTTGGCAGGGGGGTTGGACTCGATGATCTCTGGAGGTCCCTTCCAACCCCTACAATTCTGTGATTCTGTGATCATCTTGGCTTAGACATCATGCTTATAGGTGATTAAAAGTATGTAGACTAGACATTAAAGACCATTATGTAAGTTGAAACTGGTCAAAAAAAGTATAATTTTTGCACGGATAAGAGCGAAAAATCCTGAAATCCATTTCAAAGACTAGCCCTCATTATTTTCCTCTGAGTTCTCTTCACAAACAAAAAAGAAATCATACACAGCCTTTAATAAAAATCTTAATCCCATTCTAAATTTCACCTTCAGTATGAATGCTAAAAACTCAACCTTTCATGTTTAAAATGATTGTTTATTTTGTCCTGTAGAGAAAACCAATTCAGTTACAAAGTGTGTGAAACACACTCTTTCCATTGTCATTTACTTATATCCATATCCTCAGGAAGTGAAGAGATGTAATTTTAGATTCTTACTGTATGAATGGATGGAAGCAACCATTCTTAAATATGAAGACTCCTAGGAAGGAGATGCAGTATTTGTTCTATTTCAGACTTTGAAACAATTCTTAATGAAAGTTTATCTCATGCAGATGAGTTTTTAGATTGAATTCCTCAAATTTGTTTCCGATTTTATCAGATTCTTTTATTTTATCCCAAAGCATCCTGTTCAGAGACAGAATAGACCAACAGCTACACATCATCCAAACACATAATGCTTGCAGCAACACTGATAAGCAAAAATTTATGCTTATCTCTTCACTCAGCATTGTGTAGGAAGGACAGGAAGGGAAAGCAGTCCTGCTTCACATGTTCTTTTCTTGGCACCAGATCTTCCTAGGACACTGTAATAACTACAAAAACACATCCAGCTTCAGTTTTAAAAAATAGTGAAAGTGGAAAAGATTCATTCAACAATTAACGGACAACTGCAAAATTTCTATTCAGTCCTAAATTCTCTGGCCTACTGATGACTGGAAACTGTCTACATTGCACTTCACTACTGAATAAAGCCACATTTCTTAGACATTTTCATAAGTAAACTTTTAAATTGTGGCTGATATATTTTTAGCTAATTAGAAAAAACCCTTCATTTAATGCACTGTTTCACATATGAGAAAAAAATATCTTCTATTATTTCTACTATTCCACTGAATTCCACACCTACAATTAACTGTATGAACTGTAACTACAGTGAGGTTGTTCAATCTGAAGTTGAAACCTTGTTTGAATGTATGGTAAGGTTTCAATTAACGGACTAAATAATTCTGCAATGATTTCTGGTTTCTTGTAAGTACTACGAATTGCACAACGTTATACTTCTTTTTGTAAAAGGGATAACTGTGAGCCAACAGTGTCTTCAACAGAGAATAGTCTATGATTCTATACTGTCAAAACCAAAAATTTTTCAGTCAGTATATAGTACACTAATTCAGCATTTTTATTACATGATGCTAATTCTATGCAATTTTCTAAGACTCTCTTGGTCAAATAGAGGCACGAGACATTTAATTTGACTCTTCTGGTTCTTAACCTCAGAGCTAAAATAGGCTTGAGAAGTATTCATCTATACAGACAATTTGAGGTGCTAAAGCTGTACAGTAATTGTAAAAAGTACTGTTCATGAGTCATACGTAGTAAAGAGTAAAAAAACAAAAAACCAAAAACCAGCAAAAAACCCACAACTTTATTAATCAAATCAATACATCCAATGGATAGAACACTTCCACTGTGAGAACGAGCTGGGTTTGTTCAGCCTGGAGAAGAGAAGGCTCTGGGCAGACCTAATAATGACCTTTCAGTATCTACAGGGCAGCTGTAAGAAAGAAGGGAACAGACAGGCTCTTTAGCAAGGTCGGTTGTGATAGGGCAAGGGAAAATGGTTTGAAACTAAAAGAGGGGAGATTCAGATTAGATGTAAGGAACAAGATTTTTTTTTTTTTTTAATGGGAAGGACAGTAAAGCAGTAGCACAGGCTGCCCAAAGAGGTGGAAGCCCCTGTTCCTGGAAATGTTCAAAGTCAGGCTGAACTAAGCTCTGAGCAACCTAATCGAACTGTAGGTATTCTTTTTTATTGCAGGGAAATTGGATAGGATGACCTTTAAATGTCCCTTCCAATTCAAACAATTCTATGATTCTCTGTACAAAAAACACATTAATGGTTATAGCATGATATTTAGTCAAGAGGTGACTAGTCCCACAGATAGATTTTCAAAAAGAAGTACTAAATCTAAGTGATGACCCTAGCAATGAGGACTACGAGAGGCTTGCAATGCAGATGGGACTGTACCTCCAGCAATAAAGATTTAGAAAGCTTTGAACTAGTGAGACCATGGAACCAATCTTCCTGTAACACCACAGATTTCAATCACAATAAGATGTGACAACAGTAATTTATTCTTTTTTAGCCCATTTCCATGAAACTCAAAGTGATCCTTTACTGAAAACTTTTGAATCTTCTGAAAATTCATAGCCCCCAAAACTTCAATACAAGTTATGAAACAGCTCATCAGTACAAAATGTTACTATCTGGTATGTATTTAAACACGCTTGTAGAATATTTTATAGATTGAACGTACTTTAGAAATGTCAGTATAGCTTTCATGAACCAACTGAATACGAAATGCAAAAAAAAGCCACCAGGTAGCAGTCTAAGGAAGACATGTTTCAGTAAAGGCATCAAACACTGATAGGAAGACCACTAGATCACACTATAATTGAGTAGTTTCAGCCAAAGTTATCATTCAAAGAAAAACTTGTGAAATATTAAGGTTTTGTTTGTTTGTTTGTTTTTAATACAGTTACACTAGTCCCAGATATTTAGAAACTTTGTACTAAACCTGAGAATTGTGCAGGGCAACGATGAGCCATAAAATTTTTTGACACAAATAGCCTTAAGATGTATATCTCCTCAAAAGATGTTAGACCAAAGACAAATTGCTTATGTCTTTAATGGCATTAAGTGCAAGAGGAAATCATTAAACAATATACAGGTAATTATCTGGAGTATGGATGAGAAGACATTTAAATGTCAGTGATTTCATTAATTTTATAATTGAAGATTGAGAATTGGCAGAGTAGAGGGTAACAAACCATGAATGAATGTGATTATAGGCTAATAGAGTATCAGATTCTTTCTGATTTCTTCAAACTAGTTGGGCTAAAATACATTCAGACACACACAGCATATGTATGTAGAAGTCAGCAATGCCTGGAAATCACCTGTCAGGCACACTATCAAAAAAGATTCATATGATTTCTGTCTCTACTTTCTGGGCTACAGTTTGCAGATAGAGCAGAAAGATTTATCATGATGATATGAGTTATCTAACTTGCTGTTAAGCAGGGCTTTCATCCAAAATCTATTTTAGAAAGTTAAAATGCTAAACCTGTGCAAACCCTGAAGAGGGAATATACTGTGGAGTTCAAGATACTGTGAGGAGATTAAAAAAAAATAAAAAATTAACAATGGCATTCTGGTTAAAAAGGAATGTTTCAGCACTGGAAAAGCTATGTTCAATGTGGAAGACTAAATGAGGAACTGATTAATTATCTATGCAGATGAATAACTCAGATATGACATCCACAATCTTCCAGCCTTCTTGATCCCCTGTCTCTGTGTGAGGGAGTCCAGTCTGCCTATATAAAGTAGTGTCCTAGGGACAGTAACCAAAAGTTTGTTCATAGCTTTACTCACTTAAGATAACTAACTACTTCAGTCGGGATTTTCAAGGGACATTGGACTCTAATTGTCCGTAGTAGATAAGGAACTTTCTGTTTCCAGCTCTAAGCCAAACTAGTGCTAAAGGAAGCAGCAGAAGTTACAGTCATCCTTCCTATAAGGCCACATTCTTCTAGAGTGATGTGGCATCTTGAAACAATAAAGGAGCCTTTTATTCTATCTTGCTAGAACAGAAATGAAAACATTAGCAACAGTATTTCTGTGACATAAATTAAGAAGTCATAGTTTTTAGCATGTAAATTTTACTTTGTGGTCTCTTACAGTAGCACTTATCTAATAGCGTGTTCCTTCATATGTAATTTATGTATGCATACACATTTTATATAAATTTGGAGTCCCGTTGTTTTAAAAGTTTTTAAGGTTTGGTGGAAACGTCTCTTGGTACACTTCTTGAAAGGAAAGGCACTGAACATCAATTTAGATGAAAGACAAGAACAAGAGATTTAAGAGAAAAATACTGTAGATGCATGCATAAAATCCAGCAGATTTTGAGAAACCTCTTGAAGAGATTTTCAAGATGCATGAAGAAAAAGAAATCAGTTATCTACTGATAACAATCAACCAATCTTTTGCCCACTGTACCTATGAGACAGTAAAAATACCAAGTAAAAATGAAATAAATAATTTTTAAAAAATCAATTTCTCTCCCTACCAAAGGCAAGAATGTATATTAGGACTGAGATTGTAGTAGAATACGAGCCTGGTAAGGGTGTGTTTTGCTTTGTTACTTTGTCAGGAAAAGATAACAAAGAGTCAGGTTTTAAGTTGTTTATTTGTCCCTGTTATTCAGTGCCTTGATAATTAAAATATAGTTTTCGTTCTTTGTCAGGCAAAATATTATGTAGAAGCCTAATGATGCCACCCCCAAAGCATCATTAGGTTACTTGATGGAGGATATGATTTATGTATGTTGTAGAAGCATTTACTCCAGGGAACTTTTTCAAATCAGCAAGAACAGAATTTTGTTCACTGGTAAACAGAAATGTAACGACAGAATATTAGTTTTGGGTGGCTGATGTTTGATTTCCTGGAGTTATAAAGACATTCTGCTTTTCTACTAATGGCACTATATGTCTGTGATAGAAATAATTAATGATGATTCAACTTAGGTCAATACTGTGCTATAAAACATTGCTCAGTTGTACTCGTACATATAAATAATTTTTAGAGGATAAATCAAAGTTTCAACTTTTCAGAAAGAAAAAAGTATATCTCAAATTCCTGCACGTTTGCACACCTTATGCCAGAGTAAAAAAGGGACTTTCCATTTTCAATTCTGCTTAAACACAAAAGATTTCGTAGTCCCTTTAGTCACAAAAAAGTGCAATGCAACATGTACTTCACTTCTGACAAAAAAGGTAAAGTGGAGAAATGCAATTACTCATAGCTATTACTGTAGTGCCATCCTCTACAAAGCTGAACAGAATCCAATGAAGAAGATGAACAGGATGAAGATCTTAATACTAGTAGAAAGAGAAAACATAACAATCAAATAAAAGGACTATTTTCTCATCCTCCCCTCCTCCCCAGCTGTAAGATTATTAACTCCTCACTAAATAATTAAAATGAATACAAGTAGAAATGATCACGGAAGTCTTTTCTGTGCAAGACACCAGTCTGCTGCTTCCAGTATTAGGAACATTCATAGTAACCTTTCCTAATTCAAGTTTTGTTATGCTTAGCATTGAGATTGACATAATCTGAAATCAAGAAGCCTTCTACAGTTATTCCAGGCATCTAACTTCTGAAATTATTTTTCAAATGAAACATTTAAATCAATAATCAGAAAAAAAACCCTGTAGACTTTCAGATGAATAGTACTTAGGATACATTGAGTGAAGGACAAATCAGTTCTAAGGTGCTATTTATTAAATCAGTCAACCCATGAAAAGATAGCCTATCCAAATTGACTCAGTGTAGTCACTCAGATAAAATTTGCTTGTTAACTGAAAAGAAACAAAATTAAGAGGAAAAAACCTAGGTGGATAGAGAGATGAATTCATCTGATAGCTAACCTTAATTTTCCAAAATTCTGTGAAACTCAAGAACTCTCTAGGTTTGTATACATCCAAGAAAACACACTTTAAGTCTGTTCAAAGTATTGCTGTGAGA